GACGCTTAACCGACTGCGCCACCCAGGCGCCCCTAAATTATATTCTTAAACAAAATAACTTATAGCATCAAGACATAAAAAAACCTTAATTCAATCATTACAAAGACAACATAATTAATCTTATTAGACACCTACTATGTACCAGGCACTGTGGATCCAACGGTTGAATATCCTGAAAGAGATGGGAGTCTGGTAGGCAATACAGACATCTTAACAGGAATTTTTAATGCAGTGTGGTGCAGACAAAGGAGATATATATGCAGACAGGTCAGACCTGGAAAAAATTTCAGGATTAAGAAGTTTTTCTTCGCCCAACTTCCTTTCCCCAGGGTGCTCCCTCTCAAAGCCATCGTCTTCTGTTGGCTTCTTGCTAATTCCTACTACAGTGAGTAGGAGGAGGTGGTCTGTGAGTTAATTAATTTGAGCTGCCTTTGATTTTCTGAAAGGGAGAGTACATTTTATAAAAAAGTATGAATTGCCAGAAAGCATTTCAGGTCGTTGACATGAGTAACTACAAGCAGTTAAAATCACATTTTTGTAGCAAGGGGGAATCATGACCAGAGACCCTCAGATTTTAAAAGATAATCATTCTCTTCTACTGTAGGCTGAGGAAGGAGCTGGCCTATCTTTACTCCTTGCAAAGAACTATTCATACTCAATAACCCTCATGGCTATAGGAAGATAAAATCTGTTGGCCTGAACCCAGGAAAGAGAAAAAAAATATGAAATAGGTCAGAAGCTTCCAAACTGTTTGAAAGAAATAAAATAAGCAAATATGATTCAGGATAGCCAAAAACTTATCCCAATCCCAAATAAGTCAACTAGCCTATGAACAACTAAATTTGTTCATAGAAAGCCCTAAAAGTTGCCCAAAGTTCTTATTGTATCAGGTCAAGATAGAGATACTCAAAACAAACTTATTGGATAAACACCTAATAAATACTTATTGAATACAACTAGATGTTCTAGAGACTAAAAACTATTGCAATTATTAATATTTTACAAAGAAAATATCTTTCTGCAAATGTGCAGAAAAATAATAAGTAGTGATGTTTAAGAACAGTTGCTTGGATGAATATTTATAATCAAATGGTGTAAAAATTAGTGCCATAAAAGTTATATATGCTAGCAAATGAAAGAGAAAAGCTAAGCAACTTCCTGGCAAATCTGATATATAGAAAATATTCTGAATAACTAATTTCCTCCAAAATACTTTCGGATCAATAACATGCTTTTGGGTTTATTCAAATACTGCTTTAGCTTTCCACTTCTCTTTACCTGGAAAACTTCATTAAGGCTAATTTGAATTTTTTTCTATTTTTGAAAAAATACTAACTACAGACATTTTGGGTATCTATATTGTTTTAAACTAACTTGTAAAAAAAATCAGTATTATCCCCTCTATAGTCTTATGAATTGTTAGCAAATGTAATGTGTAAGTGTAAATATAAGATTTAATTTCCCTGACATGGTTTCTGACAAAATTCAAGGTTATCTAATCTTAATTTGTTAAAAAAAATGATATTAACTAAAGATTTTAGGCTTTTTTGTTTGAAAAATGTCTGCAACAAAACAGCTAACATTTAGGCACAAAAATATCTTATTGACATATTCATAATCATATGATAATGGTTTAATTTTATCACTTCTTTAGCTTTTAGTGCAACATTAATTAAAACAGTTTTTCAAAATGACACCTTAGAACAAAATTGTTTCATAAACCATAGTTATAAGAGATATAAGGACTAAGGCTTTGAAGTTTACCACATTTCTTTCTCCTTTGGTGTTGCCAGATAGAAGTCAAATACCTTTACAGTTTCTTTCACACTCTCTAAATGACAGAAGACTACCTTAGATATATTATACCTGGAAGGGCCTTTAAGAGATTATTTATATTCATATACTTTGAAACACCACACCATGTATAAGTACTTTATCTTTTTGTTGGGTTCCAAATAGAGAAAAATATAATTTTTATTTTCTATGTCATACACTAGAAAGAGATCTCCCAGTACAAGAAGAAACAGAATGTACCTATCTATTCATCACAAATTTCTACTAAACAAACTTCACCAACCTAAGTTGCCTGATACATTTAAAAACATGCAAGTGTTATATGAAATGTTTAAATATTACAACGCTAATTATTCTAGAATTTTCCTAGTTTATGTCTGCAGTCTTTATGCAGAAAGCCTATTGTTGTGACAAGAAGTAAAGCTTATATATTTTAACTTTGTAGTTCTTATTTTTCTGTTGAGTCAGAGATCCCTCTGGACTACCACCTAAAAATAGAGCGACTCAAATGTTTAAATACAGTATCAGGGGCTGCATGACCCTTTGAAGCAGATACACAGACTTGAGTTGGTTAATAACTAAACAGAACACAGACCATCTCACAAAAAAAGTAATAGAGTTTATATGGCTTTTTGACAAATTAAAGTTTGCTTGGAAATTTTAGATTTTCATACTGTTGTGATATTTTTGTTGCTCTTGATTTTTACCACTCTTCATAACATAGCACCTGAAATGACCCCTCTTGAAAAGAAAACATAGCCATTTTCGGAAAAGCAACAGATTACTTCTGCACTATGAACCAAGATATGAAAATCTCCACCATTAAGTGCTTCAACGTTTATGTATCTGTCACCAGAGGGTTAATGACGTTCCCACCAAGACTAGTTCAAGTAAGTAGGTAGACCTTTAATGATATCACCAATGGAGGGCTGAGCCTGAAAAAAATCACTACTGATACAAAACAAAAGCTCAAAAAAACCCATATGTATATAGATATCTAGAGAGAGAGAGAGAGCTCCTCTTCTATTTAAAACTCAGACGGATTTTCAATATATTGTAAACCAAGGTGCCTTTGACCAGTTACCATTAAGTGAGAGGTTCACTGTGGTTTACTTCAGAAGACACAAACTGTTTTATCAAGTGCAAAATGAAGGAAGAACCATATGAAATAAGCGAGCAAAAGAAAGACGCACGAAATCCATAGCCTGAATCACATGATCACGATGCACTGCAGCCCCTCGCACGACCGACCGCCACAGCGAAGCTGCTCAGCTCACCACTACAGGCTGCAGCCACAGACCCGACGCGCAGAGGCTGCTGTGATCCCCTGCTTACCATTACCCCGAAGCGCGGCGGTCACAATGAAAACAGAAATTAGACTGCCAAATTAGACCGCGAGCGCGCGCGCGCGCGGGCACACACACACACACACACACACGCACACGCACACGCACACACTTACTCTTCGGTCGAGCCCCGAGCAGCCCGGCTGGAAGTTTGCTGGATGCTTTGTCTAAGCAATTCAGCAATCGTTCGCGGTTTGCTCTCCAGAAGGGCGATTGGCTCGCCCACGCAGCAGCCGGCGGGGTGAAGTTGCGGTAAAGCCGGGGCGCGGCCTCGAGCCCCGGCCGGCTCTGAGGTCCCCGCCGCCCTTTGCTCTGCCGCAGCTGAACCTCGCGTGCGCCGGAGGCCCGGGCGCCCCGGCCGTGGGAGAGCAGCGGCCCCAGCGCGCCCCGCGCGTTCTCACGCCCCGGCCGTGCGAGCCCGGCCGCTGGCGCTGCGCGGCCCGGCGCCTACCCCCTCAGTCCTCTTCCCTCTGGCCCCGCAGCTCCCCCGGGCCCTGAGCCGGGCCCCCGGGCGCCATCTCCTCTGCTCCCTCGCTCCTCCCCAGCGTGGGAACCGCGCCCCGGCCCCCGGGGGCTGAGCAGCTGGGAGCGCATGGAAGTCTCCCCAGGGAGGAGAAGGGGGACGAACCCAGCCCTGGAGCCCCGGCAGATGGCCTGCCCCTCTGGGGAGCCCCGACCCGCGTGGGCATGCAACGACCACTTACTCGCTGGCTTCCCAGACCTCGCGGCTGCGTTTCGGGATCTCCGGCAGCTCCAGGGCGCGCCTCGCAAATCCCCACTGCCAACGCAGAAAGAGAGTGGGCGTCAGGAACCAGAGAGGGTGAGCGGGAGAGGGGACCCTACAGCGGCACCTGTCAGTCCGTGCTCGAGTGCACCTACCGCACAGGCGACCGCGGTACTCACGCTCGGGCTCACTCCTGTCTACCTGCTCAACAGGCTGGGCGGGACGCGACGTGCCTTGCAAACCGTATTCCCCGCGCTGCTCCCAAACACTCAATCGGTTCTGGCCGTGGTCCCTCCCTGTCTCCGTATCTCTCTGCTGACCCCGAAGGATCCCTTATAATCCCTTTCCCTACTGCATTGAAGTTCTTTTCAGAATCCCTCCCCTTCTCTGCACCGAAAGACTGAAAAAGAAAGTAGAGACTAAAACGCACCATGGTGAGGTCACTCAGGGTCTGGGTCCTGCCGAGGCTCGTGACGCTCCCCGCCCCCTCTCCCCCGACCCAGCCTGCTGCAGGTATGGGTCGCCTAGGGCGGCTCCCCAGCTGTTCTCGGCTTTTTGCCTGGGATCGAGAGCAGCGAAACTGTCGGAAAGCTTCGAAAAAACCTGCTTTGGAAAATCAGCTCAGTGTTGGAGTCCCACCCACTACGCCCAGACTAGGGCTGGGGACCTGAGTCCTGGCCTCTCCAGCCGTCACATCGCCATCCCAGCACTTACTGTGTGGAGACTGAGACGAAGGGACAGGGACAAAGAAAGAGAAACAAAACAAAAACAAAAGGAGGGAACTCAAGGAAAATCTGCTTCCCCCTCCGTCCCCCAAATCTTCTCCACCATGCATTGCTCCGGAAAATCTGTCGTTTTCAGTAGTTAAAACATCCAACATTTCTGCTGAGAAGTTAATATCCGCACAGATGGTTTTCCTGTCCTGGTTTACAGGTTTAAAAACAATCTACGCCTTTGCAAATGCAACCTTATGGTTGCACAGTATATACCATCTTCCCAATAGAGTTCTGATACAGCTTGGTTCAGTGCATTTAGTTCTGCTGGGTGTGTGTGTATCCCAGCACAGAAAAATAAATTCTGATACTGATTTTGAGTCAATTTTCTGACTTAAAAATGTCATTATGCTATTTCGTTGTGAATTCATAATTAATCATGATTACCGTGTGATCCTTCTTCAAATTCAGTAACTCTGAAACATTGTTCTTGGTTATCTACAATTCTTAAATCTCTCCCAAACCCCACCACATAATCAATCTGGTCTCATGTTAGATTCACCACATTTGCAAAATTTTCTCCCAGCCTTGTCGACTATGCTCTCCTCATGGCAGACATTAGAATAAGCAAAGAAGGGGAAAAAAAGATATTTAATTTTTTTTAAAAAGGCATTTAAATAAACTTTGCCTTAGTATCAGGCAAAAAGTTCAGAGCTATAAATCTGAATTTTTTTGGTTCTACCATATCTGAAACCTTCTCTTCCTCTATAACCAACCCATGAAAATGTCTTAAGTCAGTAGGGCTTTTGTCTTCAGTGCTCTTAGAATTTAAGACCTAGAATAAAAAATAAAAATAAATACCTGGTAATGCATTGTTCACTAAAACTGAAGTAGGTGACTATGTTAGCATTGTGTGATTGTCTCAAGCGATCTCAAGGAGAAATCAAGAACAGGAAGAACAGGAAAACCAGTTAGGTAGAGGCAGGCAAACAATATTTTTAAACAACCAGATATGATAGATACATAATGTATTGAGATGACTAAGGATCTTCATTGTGTCTATGTAGAAAGCACAAAACCGTAATTTTTACAACTATATTACATTTATAACTACATTATATTTTACAACTGTATATACATATTTTTACAACTGAATTATACCTTATGATGTACAGGTATCTGGAGAACTACTTGTGAGCACATGTACCCCTTTCCCTTTTGTAGATATAATTCTCTGTAGCTAACAAGCTTTGAAGTAATTCTTCGGAGCAATCTGAAATACTATGTCCCAGGCTATAGTCCTCAGTAAGACAACCTACTGTGGGGTTGGCTTTCTTTCAGTGGACACCATCATTAGAAGAGGGCCCTTACTATAATTGTTAAAAAATAAATTTGATGATGTGGAAGCTCAGAGGAGAAACAGCTATCTTCTGACAGAAGAAATACTTCTTAACAGAGCAGCATTAGAGTTAGGCCTTAAAAGTTTGGTTTCTTTAAGAAAAGATGAAATACAGGAAATTTTTGTTCATTTTGTTTTGTTTTTGGGCCAAGGGAAACTTGTGAAGAAGGGCATGGAGGTGGGAAGGCATCAAGACCGATATTCAAGAAACAGAGAGTGATGCCATTAGGTAGAAATGCCAAGCAAATGGGAAAAAAAAAAAAAAAGTATAGGAAGATAAAGTGGAAACATCAGTTGGGGCCAAATGATCTCATTGGCCTGTCTTCTTCTAGTTGCTGCACGGAAGACTTGTATAAAAACAGTATTTGTGTTTTTGTGTTCCTTTACTGGCATTACTCTTGTCAATATTCCTTTCATCCTGGAACACGACTTGCTTAACCCATTCATCTCTGCCTTTACCGTCCTAGTATCCCATAGCACACCAGAATCCATAGTACGTTTAACTTCAGTCCTCTCTGCAGGGGGCAACCAGTTTTACCAAGGGTAGACTCTCAGGTTGTATTCTCCTTCTCCCATCTTTTACGACTTCCAGGCAATGGGGTGTGTGGGAAAAGCAACCAATCTAGGGTGCCGGGTGATTGTGAAAAACATGTTCTAATCTGAATGTTTGATATGCCCTGACAAAAGGTTAAGAGTTCCCTGCTGTTATGGAAGGAATCTTTGTAGCTAAGTGCCTAGCAATGTATACGGTTCCTAAGAGGGATTCAGTAAAATAATTATTGAGTGGCTAAATGCATATATGAGTGTTTCATCATCTTCCAGGTCTGTTCTTCTGTCTTATAGATAATGTGTAGGTTAAAGCCTACTTGTCTCCACTTTATTGAGAATCAGAAAGTTGTCATGACAACTTAATAAAAATGTTAACAAGGACAAATATTTGGTTGAAAGCAATCCTTGGTATTCTTGTCAGCTTTGGCAGAAAAGCTCAAGTTTTTCTTCTCAAAATGCTTTGTTTTTCCTGTATCCACAATTGATGATAGCACAAAAGCATTTAAATGTGTATTCTTTGCACACTTACAAATGGCAATGGTGACCAGACATGTGATGTAACGCCTTGCTACTCAAGATATCAGCAATATCAGCATGACCTGTCTTCTTGTCAGAAATACAGAGCCTTGGACCTCACTCCAAACCTACTGAATCAGAATATTCATTTCACAACATCTTCAGGTGAGTCTTATGCATATTAAAGTTCCAGAAGCCCTGATCTAATATCAATGCATTAAGTATGCTAGACCTAGAAACAGGTTGCATGAATCTGTTGAAATCTAGGAATTTTGAGAACGAGCATCTTTTTTTTTTCTGGAATATTATTACCAAGTCAGTTTAAATAAAGTAATGGGACTAATTAAGTCATCTCTGCTGGCTTCTTGGTCCACTTAAGAACCAAACACAACTTCATAAACCAAAGGGAATTGAGAGAGAAATGAGGGAGGAGGGCAATGTGGCAGGAGGGAAGATATGAGAAACATTGTATACTTTTGTATTTTATATCCTTTTTAAATATATGTCACAGGCAGAGCTTCACTTTATTTTTTAGCAAACAAACTACTTGATTGTACTGTTTATCAAATCAGGATAACTTGTCAGACACAAGAAAGATAACTTCATTATCTTTTTCCCCTTTATTACTCTTTTTTTCTTCCTTCTTCTTAAGATTATTTACTTCCTAAATTTTTTAAATGTTTATTTATGCTTATTTACTTTCAATTCGTTTGAAATACAACTAGTTAGACAGACTTTACATTAGTAACTTGTAATTATGGGGGCCATGTTAGTACTCCAAAATGTCCCTTTTAGAATGTGAAGTATTAATTAGGAAAAGGCCATGGAGGGTTGGAGTCCCTAAATTTCCAGCTCTGGTATAGACATTCATGAAGCAGTTTGGACTCCAAGAGATTCTAATGGTGACAGAAATGTTCACCATGCTGTCTCAAACAGATGGTGTTTGTTATCAGCAAATAGGGTGGTAGGCAGAATAATGTGCCCTCCTTGCCCAAAGATGCTCATGCCATCCCTGAAAACTATGACTATGTTACAATATGGCAAGGGGAAATTAGGTTGCACATAGAATTAAGATTGCTTGGGGTGCCTGGGTGGCTCAGTTGGTTGAGCGTCTGACTCTCGATTTCGGCTTAAGTCATGATCTCATG